CTGTTGTGAGGACAACTTACAGTTGCCATGGTGAGCATCAGTGTTTCACAACATGCAAGTTGAAATACAGAAATAAATATAAAAAGGGAAGTGGAATTCTTACTGAGGAATCCCCACGCACGCCCTCCCTCCGACTGACCCTCCCAGGATGTCGGCTGCCGACCCTGGTCCAGCACTTCCTGCGCTTCTATTCCCAACACTTCCTGTCCCCTGGCTCCAGCCCTGATCAACAGGAAGATTACTGTGCGCAGTGAAGTTGGTGTTTCTACATTGATGTGCCACTTCATCTTTAGTGTCCTGTTATGTTCTTATAGTTACTAACACTATTCTCTCCATGTAGAGCAGAAGTCTGCAGTCTTTTTTTGCACTACAACATTTAATTAGACACACTGAAGTTGCATCCTACGCTTATGGCAACTGTATTTGTTTACTTGCATCTCATATCGAGAGTAAATTGCAGGAAGCCATTCAAAAAAATGCTTATCGTGAAAAACGACGTCCCCACACTCATCTGCTGAGCTAAAGGTGTTCGTTTGTTGCTTTGTGCGGTCAGCTAAGGCTTTCTGCTGGGCCTCTAGGAGTCTCCAGCAGATTCTGTGGAAAGAATTACTTCCTGATTTCACTGTTTTCTTTGGACTTTCTCCCTGGGAATAGCTCAACTTTCCAAATATAACTGCCACATGTTGATACTTTTTGGCAGTCGCTGGCATCCTGGGGAACACTCCCATGTAAGTGGCTTGTGGCTTTGCTGATTATGCAGGCCAAGGCTGAGGGTTCTCATTCAAACGAGGAGTGGGTTATATTTGTTCGGTTAGTCCTAGCACAGGCGAATTTGCTGTAATGTCGTTAAATAGCATGTATACAGCACCAAGTTGTGTTTGAACTGCTTTTAGAGTCCATGAAAGTGAGTCACTTCAGCGAGTCTGTTTGCTTGTGAATGCAGAGTGGAAATGGTAACCTGAAGGAAACTCTGATTACCGGGATTCATATTTGACCTGCAGGTAAAAATCACCCTGTTAATATTTATCTGGAAAGTTAGATTGCATCAACGCTGGAAAAATTTAGTTTTTCTTATGGTTTGTGGATTCCTGGTGGTGCGGTTCACAAATGGGTTGCAATCAGCCTCTGGTTAGGATTAGACACACTGAGCTGAAGACTCAGACCAGAGTCGAGATCCTCCTAAAAGTCTGAGTACATGCTTTTAAATGGCGACAAATTGTTTAGCGCTGAAGGAGCTCATTGTGATGCTTGTCTGAATGTTTAACAACCGTCTTTTACATACTTCATGACAGACTGGCTTATACTTTATGCAGCTTTCTTTGCATGCCAGATCTTTGTGGGAAATGATTACACACTTTCTTTCTGTCACGAACCAACACAGAGTAACTTTAAGAGCAGCAGGCAGTCAGGAATAACTTGCACTGAACCCCAACAGCATTGTGCCGCTCATTAGCCCACTGCCCTGAAATCAGCCAGTAATTAGATTCCTCTTTCACTTGTCCTTGATGCTGTCTCTAACATATGTAATACACTCAGGTATTTCTTAAGTCACTCCCAGCAGTCTGCAGCCTCACTTCGAGTGCTCTAACTTCAACTAAGACAGATGAATCACTCCATGCCATCAGTAGTACCGTAGTCTGTGCCACTTACTAATGCAGTGTCTGTTAAAAAGGTAGCTTAATGTCTTGGAACATCTTGCACTGCTTTCTTGCTGCACAATAAAATGAAACTATGGCAGTCAGTCAGTGTAATCTGCTGAAATCGGCCCATCTAAGCTCACTAATTAACACTATTTATTGGCTGGGAATGATGGCAGTTAGGCTCTTTAAATCCGCAGCTTATCCATAGTCTCCACTGTAGCTGGGAACTATTTTGTCAGCCCAAAGTTTTGTGTTTTGAGACTGTTAACAGTGGTTTTTATTTTTATTTTTTTTAAATCTCACACTAGAATTTAGTTCCTGAAATGTTGAGCTAAAGCTTTAGGAATCTTATGGCTCTAATAGCCACACAGCCTGCTGGTTGCACTGAGCAGTAAAGCTCCATTCCTGACTTAGAAAGCTGGTGACATATTAACTTACGGTGACAACAGAGCAGCTACTTGTGTCCCAGTATCTTTTAAAGTCTGCGTGGTTGTTGCCTCAGTCTTCCTGATACTCCACCACAAACATTCTCCATAGTTTGTTTTACCATATAAGGCAGGGTGCGTCCCTGGCAGCCAAAGAATGAAAAGTGGGTGCTAAAGGAAGGGGCATGGCCAGAGAGACAGACGGAGCAGTGAAAGAAAGAACAATCAAAGGGAGGAAATGAAAGGATGTTGGGCAGCGTACTTCCTGTCACCTTTTTTCAAGATCCTCATTTGCTATATGATGAGTAGTGAAAGCTCGTCGTTAACCTTACTTCTTGTTTCTTGGCATTTATGGTAACATTGTTTTGACATCGTGTTCGCACAAAGGCTCTGAATACTTTTCAGTCCGCTTTTGCTGCTGGGCTTGTGGCTGCACCGGCCAAGGTTAAATGATTTTCTAAAGCTGCAGAAGAGTCTGTGGCTAAAACTGTGCATTCAGGATTTACAGGAAAGGCTCTTCTTTGTTCACAGCTCAGTCAATTAGAAGCATGAGATAACCTGTAAATACATTCATTTTTTTTTCCTTTTAAACCTGACACAAGGGTGTCTCTGTCTGTATGGGGCTCCCCCACTCCCTGCCTTTTTTGCTATGAGCAGATGGCAGATAAGGCACCAGGTTGCACACATTTCTGTCACTGCCACCATACTGGTGTTAGCTGAGGTTTTTATGTTTGTCTGTTTTGATACTTGAACGCAGTTTACTGGGTAGGAGACTGGATAGCTGGTAATTATGTGTGTGTGTGTGTGTGTATGTTTGAGAGAGGCAGAGATTGGTGCAATAAGAGTGTCTGTTTGCATGTTTGCAGAGCGTGTGCGTGTCTGGAAGCACATTACAGCAGCTGGTGCGCTAACGTAGCTGACCTAAAACAGATGAATAGCATGTTTGTTTGCGTGCTGGACATTGCTCCATTCAGGACACAGGAAGTACCAATATCTGTTATTTCAGGTTGCAGTTGAATACTAGGTAACGTTTCTGGGCAGCCAGATGTGGCGTCGATGGATGCAGACCTGTGCGAGCGACACTGCTGATGAGATTTCAAGATGTACTGAGCGATTTATGATTTTTCATTCATTCTGTGTCCGGTTCGGTTTTCAACGTCTGTCAAGTGCCGGCGGTTTTGAGACACGCCAGCGATAGTTAGGCAGACATTTCCTGTCTCGTATGGGTGGCCTCCCCTGTGAGCTTTCTGTGCAGCAGGGGGAGGACCTGGGAGAGGATGAAGAAGAGGGTGGGAAAAAAAAAAACACACAGACGACCGGCGGTGGGAGTGGCGGGTCACCAGGCCAAGATTAGATTAGATGGATGCAAGATGGAGAAAATACTAAAAATGAGAACGAAGCCTGTGCCATCATGCTTTGATTTCCTGAACATATCGAGTCTATGACAGAATGGAAGTCTCAGTATATTTAAGCTCTCTGTTTTTTCTTTTCTTTGCATTGGTCCTTCTTATCAGTCATCTCATTTTCTATTTGTGACTTTTATTCACCAATTTCTGCGCAGAATGACTCCTCTGCCTGTAAGCTGAATGGTGGAGACACTGACGGTTGATCAGAGCGATTGCTGGACTGAAAAACTGGCTAATGATTTACTGACCTACTAACTGCTGCCCTCATCAGAGCAGAGAATACAGCCTGCGAGGTTGTAAACATAATAAACTTGTGTGAGTACTCCGGGTTTCAGTGAATGGTTCAGCAACTTATCGGTCTGGTTGTGAACTTTCATTTTAACAGCAGGTTCTTTGTGTTATGCTAAGACTGAGGTCAGTTTTTACTTTGAATGCAACTCCCAAGGAGATGATTGTTGGATAAACTCCCCGACCAACAGAGGAAATTCTTGTGTAGTTGTCTGTTTGCTTTCTTTTTTCCTCTTTCTGGCTTTTTGTTTATCGAGGGCAGACGAGCAGAAGCCCATTCGTTCTCCCTCCTTTGCCCAGTTGTGGCTTGAGCATCACCGGAAATTGAGTTTGTCTAAATGTTTCGCTCAGACGTCCTGCTACATTGTAAGGAATTACACTTTCCAGCCAGATGCAGCATGTTCTCATTAAAGACGGTTAGAGTTGGGCCCTGCTTTTATGGACGAATCTCCCAACGACCTCCAGCTGCCTCCATTTCACATTTTAACCGTCACATTTTGATTTGAGAAACCCGAGTGACCCCAGAGAGCACACAGAGTAGATTACACTGTCTCCCCCTCACTCACTCACTCACTCACTCACTCGCAGCCTTTGTTTGGATTCACTTTGTTAGTGAGGATTAGGATATGAATGATAAGGGTGAATATTTCCCTGTCGTCATAGCACCATGATTATATTCAGGTGGCTGTATTTAAATATTTTTATCAGAGTTCTGGGTAGGCATTGTACTGTGTGACTGTATAGCTCCTCTTCCATTGACAGCTTTAAAAAAAAGTGTTTCATGTGGTGAAATATGCAACACTTGAGTTCATTTTTGGACTTTTGTTCATAATAGATGTGGTTTGGTTTTAAAGTGATGCATCAATTTGTTGGATGAGGAACTTAAGTTCAAAAAAAGACAGAGATTCAACCTCCTGATAACAGTAGTTGTTAGGGAAGTGTAGACAGGACATCACCATATCCTGTCCACACAGGCCTTGCTTAAATCTACAAGATGTTAATTTTTATTCCCTTTTACTTTTAAAATTACGTCCTTCTGGTTGGTTTGGACATTCACTGATTTTTGTTGCAACAATTGCTGAAAACAGGGTGAAAAGTTCTTTCCCCCGACTTCTGTCATTGTGTCATTTCCTTCTCTTCCTGTTTTATGGTGGAGGACGACAGACAACTTCGGGTGACTTAAAGTTGAATAAATGCATGACTAAAGTTCTTCCTATTTTTTATTTATTTTTCCTTTGCAGGCAGAGGGTGAGGTAGCAGCTCTTAACCGTAGGATCCAGCTGGTGGAGGAGGAGCTGGACCGTGCCCAGGAGAGACTGGCCACAGCGCTGCAGAAACTGGAGGAGGCAGAGAAGGCTGCAGATGAGAGCGAGAGGTCAGTTTCTTATTCGCATTAGACACAAGTGGAGAAAAAGTCTGCCTTGCGCGGGAGAACATGTGTTATCTAGTTCACCTGACTTTCACAAAAGAAAGTCTGTCCTCTCCTCACGCTGTGTCCTGTCATCCCAGAGGAATGAAGGTGATTGAGAACCGAGCGATGAAGGATGAGGAGAAGATGGAGATTCAGGAGATGCAGCTGAAGGAGGCCAAACACATCGCAGAGGAGGCCGACCGCAAATACGAGGAGGTGATTCTGACAGTGACGGCTTAAGTGCAAGAGAGAAATTCCCTTATTCAGATCGTTAATAGCCTCTTAGTTTTTTGAGTTTAAAATATTTCTCTTTTTCTTTCTCAGGTGGCTCGTAAACTGGTGATCTTGGAGGGCGAGCTGGAGAGAGCTGAGGAGAGGGCCGAGCTCTCAGAATGGTAAATGCAATAAGCGCACAAATGTATAAATCCGTTGACTCACATACAGATGCATGGTCTCTTGTGCGGCTCGCAGATGAAAACAAAGTATGTGTGGGATTCTCCTTACAGTAAAGCCAGTGACCTAGAGGAGGAGCTGAAAAATGTGACCAACAACCTGAAGTCCTTAGAAGCCCAGTCTGAGAAGGTACAAGACGAAATGCATTGACACTTTAAGAAGTAATAATTCTGCTTTGGCTTTCTGGAGATTGGTGATGTTTTTCCAAACAAGAATCTTCCAAATATAGAAAAAAAATCTGATTTTATCCAGTAAAGGAGGAAAAAAAGTTTTCCTGTCAAAATGCATCAATGTGATTTGTGAAAATCTAATAATATGACAAAACAAACTAAAACTTTAGGCAGTTGCTTTCATTGTCTTTCACAAACACAAACAGAAAAACTAAATATATATACTGAACACCAAGTCTGGCACCATGCACACACGAATCCTATCATTAGGGCTTTACTCATGGCTCGGTGCACCGTAATTTGGGTGAGCTGTCCTCAGAGAGAGAGAGAGAGACCACATGGCAAAGGACTGTTTCATACTACCTCCATTATAACTGTGTATCATCAGGCCCTCCTTAAAACCATTTATTTTGCACTGAAGCTATTATATAAGGGAGCTCGGCACCTGAACTCCTTTGATATGCAGCTGTTTAAATATATGTTTGCACACCAACTTATCTACCGCATGACAAATTAGCCACTGAGGCTTTTTTTTTCTTTTTCATGTGTGTATGAGTGGTGTTACTGGCTACGTAAGGTGTTTCAGGTGTGTGTATATAAGCAGCCAGTAGAAACCTGCCGCACTCAGAAATGTGTCTGCTTCATTCCCGCCCGTGCACAGGCATGCAGTGCAACGGCATGCCAGGTTTACCTCATGCCAGGTTTACCTCATGACAACTTTTCTTTAGCAAATATGGCATGGCTTGGCTTTGAAACCGACCTGCAGTGGTTAGCGTAACAGCAGAACTTGTTCCCAGGACAAGCCAACACCTTTCCTGTTACGTGCCAGCGAGGGAGTGGCGCCATGAGCTCTCAAAGCAATAATAATCCTGGGATGGTGCCGTTTTGTGCTCCCATTGTGTGCACGTTTGCTGCTGAAAGCTAAGTGTGAGCTAATGCTGTTTCTTTGCCTCTCCGTCTGTCACCAGTACTCAGAAAAAGAAGACAAGTACGAAGAGGAGATCAAAGTTCTGACTGACAAACTGAAGGAGGTGAGATGATGGTGTTTTCACAGAATTAAGAATAAAATTATAATAGTGAGAATAATCCAGTCATTCAGAGACATTTGTAGCATTTTCCCCCCCATCACTAAAATGTTAAATGTGACATTTCCATAAGCTTAGCAAGGCTGGCTGAAAAGCTCTCCTGTTGCAGTCTTTCATGATGGATGTGTTTGTTGGCGCTCATCAGTTTGTTTTGATATGCTTTGTCTGAATTCCTCCCAGGCTGAAACCCGTGCAGAGTTTGCCGAGAGGACAGTTGCCAAACTGGAAAAGAGCATCGATGACCTGGAAGGTACGAGAGTCACATTCATATTGAGGTTTTGGGGGGATTTGCAGCATCTGTGGCCCAAAATCTTTTTCTTTTTTTTAACAGAACATGTAAATCGTAAATGGCCTGTATTTATATAGCGCTTTACTAGTCCCTAAGGACCCCAAAGCGCTTTACATATCCAGTCGTCCACCCATTCACACACACATTCACACACTGGTGATGGCAAGCTACATTGTAGCCACAGCCACCCAGAGCCCAAATCATTTTGTCTGCTAGCTTTAAGTGAACCTGCAAAGATGCGTTCAGGTTCATTAAATGGTGATTTATTTGCTGATGAACTACGAGCACATCTTCATACACAGTTGCAAAATCACTTACCTGAGTTTTGGCCTGAGTTCTAGAAGAGGTGTCCTATTTCAGCATGACTGGAATTTTTTTCCTGTGGAAAAGAGGATTTTCCACAGGAACCAAATGTATGGAAACTATTTCACTAAGACAGGCTAATAAAAGACCCTTGTTACTGAAGGACAAGTATTCCATGTCAGCCACGAAGCTGCAGCGGCAGCAAAGAGGACAGAATGTGCTCATATTTTTTTTTTAGGTCAGGATCGTTTAGTTGTTGAACCACAGGCAGCTGAGTTCATGGATTTATTGGATCAGTTTTATGAGACTTTCACAAAAGTCTTAAATGCTCAAAGCTCCCCCAGCAACAAAAAACAAACGTGAAGAGCTTTGAGCATAATTAGGTATTCATCATTCTTTCTTCCAAGCATTTCTGCATCTTTAAAAAGGCTGACCTATTTTTTTGTCTCTTCCTTTCTCCCTCTGCTCTTTGCCTCCATCTGTCTCTCGCTCTCGTCCTGCTTTCGGCTTGCTTGTGTCGCTGCTGTCGTTGGCACCTGCCTCTGCTTCTTGTCGACCTCTGGCGTCCAGATGAATTGTATGCTCAGAAGCTGAAGTACAAGGCCATTAGCGAGGAGCTGGACCATGCCCTCAATGACATGACATCTCTGTAGAGACATGTTTCGCTCTTTCTCTCTGTCTGCTGTGCCTCTAAATGTTCATCTCCTCTGATCGTATGTGCCTCTGCTCATCTTACTCTGCAAAACATAATTCATTAAAGCTCGTTTTCTTTCCTAGTTTGCAGCTTTTGTCTGTTGTTTTTTGTTTGTTTGTTGCCAGTGTGTAAGGAAATTATGAACTGTTTGATGCAAAGTCTCAGCTAACTATATAGGTTATTATGATTTTCTTATTAGGTTATTAACAGTGTATTTTATGATTAGTTGTTACTCTACGCATTCATCTGAATATCAGTTTTACAAAGGTGAGCATTTCTGGTTTTAGTGTGGATTAATAGTTTGCAGTCACCTGGGTTTTAATCTACACGCTTTGGTGGTTTCTGATTTGTATGTCCATAAAGTATGCATAGATCTTAATGACATTTCCACAAGGTGGGATATACGAATGACTTCACTGTGCAGCAAACGAGTCCTTTAAAAAGTCCATCCTGTATGATCCCACTAACAGTCTTCCAGCAGTTTATGCATGAAAGGTACTCTGTAGTGGTTGATTTTTATTTTTTGCATGTGGCACAACTTAACCAAACCAGTTATGCAAAACATCTGCCCAGTAACACCGACCTTTGTGCAGTCTTTAAAAAAAGGGGTGCTGTGTGACAAACCTCACGAAGAGATTACAGTGGCATGAAATGAGCGAGCACTGCTAACTGGTGATTGAGGGTTCACCGTGTCATATTTCTTCTTCTTCTCCCCAGAGAAACTATCACATGCCAAAGAGGAGAATCTGGGCATGCACCAAGTCCTGGACCAGACCCTGCAGGAGCTGAACAGCTTATAAACACACACAGAGGAAGCTGGAGAGGATGAGGTCGTCATTAACATTCCATTAAACGTTCGACTCCATTCCGCCTTTCGAGCTGTAAAATCTTTATTCCCCACCTAAAGGGGGATTAACTTAATGCTTGTCCCCTTTTTTTTTTTTTTTTTTCAAGCACAATTTTTTTTTTTAATAAAGATTTTTTGAATCCACTGCTACTTTATTTTTTTTAAACCTACAGATGTTCTTGTAGAAATTCGTTTTTGACCACTTACAAAGAACTGGCACTAAATTTGTCCAAAGAAACCTCAGATTTGGTCACTCAACCACTTAAACAGACTTAATTTTACACATTATGTGCACATACATTACACTTCTGATTATTTTTAATACATAGGCTACATATGGCATAGGGGTTTGCTCAGTCTTGTGTGGCTTTTAAGCGCCACCTAGTGGTAATTTGAAGTTAGTCAACATTTTTTTTTCTTATTATTATTCCATTTTATCTCCAGTGGCTGCAAAGTAACAGATATTTGACAGATCTGTGCTCGTCTCAGTCTCTTTTTGTGTTAGAACAGCACAACAGTCACGTGAACAGATGACCTGATAACAAGGCTCAGTGATTAAGACTTCTTTACATTTAATTATAACGTAATGCCTCTTTGGCCAAGGTGTTGAACCTGATGCGGACGTTCTGAACACTTAAATGCTTGACCTGACCACTGATACCTAATGCATCATTACCAACAATATGCCATTGTGTAGCCAGTATTTACAATATGAGTGAGCTAAACCCCAAACCACTGGAAGCTCAGTCAAGTTTTATCAACCATGGAAACTTATTGTATATAGTAGAATAATGTTAGGTAATGTGAGAAGTTGTATTTTTTTTTCCTTGGGTTTTGTTTCATTTACACCACTCCTTTTTGCCAGAGGAACTCTCAAAACCAAAGAACACACACAACACAGACAATTCATGAAATGTTTTTATTTTTTTTGTGATGGTCATCGTGGTTTCATCTCATGTCAGAGCCACTGAGAGTGCCTCACATTTGGTTGAGACTGTTATGAAATACTTCATTCACCCACCCCCACCCCACCCATGTCAACCTATTAAAATGTTTTACAGAAATCATGACTTGTCTGAAGTTTTTTGCAAATTTGATTGTTGCATTTTACTCATGCAGAAGAAGTAATGACAATGTCTTTACAGGAAAGTGCTTCATTATGTCAATCTGCTTTGGAGTGTACATGCATTCAGATGATTCTGTCTCATTCAGCCCCACACGGGGGTAAAATCGTTCTCATTTAGATAAATAGAGGCAATTTCTCTATTTGCTGAGGATTTGCAACATGGCATCGCTCAGCCTCGATTATCCTTGGGCATTTCTGCTGCATGGTTCCAGGTTCGTTACTGTTCATGTCTGTTTCTTTCTGAAGGCGCAGCCTAGAGGGAGAAATGTCAAACATTTCAGCAAGGTCTTGCAAGCAAATTAGGAGAATCTTATTCAAAGCTACTGTTTTTGGCATTGTACTTACCTGCTGTCAGTCTGCATTTCCCCCCTCGTGGCCTACAAAGGATTATAGAGCAGCCTGCACAGGGCACCACTGTCTGGGCATGGCTGAAGATGGTGGTGATCCTGTAACACCCTGATGAGCATTTGCAGATCACTTAGAGCTTGCCACACATAACTAAAAATAAATCCTAAAACTTTGCACCATGAGCCAAAATTCCTACCCATGCATTTAACATCCATGAAGTAAGAGTTTGGATTCTGCACCAGCCTCTTCTTCTTATGCTGCCTCCTCTCCTCGGCAAAACTTTGGTGCATCAGATCCTTAGCCAGCTGCAAGAAAAGGCAGAGCATTTTTTTTTTTAAACATGAACTATTCAATTGTTCTGCTACTGACAGGATGGGGTTAATGGAGGGATAAGAATATGAAAATGATTATTTACAAGATCATGGTAAAACTGCTGTGATGTATGGTTTGGAGACAGCACTAACAAAACGAAAGGAGGCATAGCTGACAGGAATTTGTACAGCTCAGGTTAACTGGTTTGGAAATTAGAGAAGAGGCTGAATATTGGATATACTGGATAAAGGTGACAGTGGAAGATGATGGGGATAGGGTGAGATGAAGACAGATGATCCGCTGAGGTGAAAGAAGAAGACAGGATTGTCTTAAGAGGTGTACCGCAATATGTTTTATAGCCGTATGCCCCCTACAGTCTGAAGAATGAATTGCTAGTTAGAGGAGCAACATGTCCAGACAAGCCCAAGCATCATTCGTACAGTACAAGAATAATGGGCAGATAACAGTATATAACATGTTGCTACAAGTTCAATATTACAAGAGTTAAAAAAAATATTACTCACTTTATTGCTACTCTTTTTAAAATTCAGTACAATGTTGTATTTCTTAGTTCACAAAATACTATTAAAGCATCTTTCTGTCAGTCAGAACTGTTCTACTTTCTAATATTTCTAACAAAAACAGTCAAATCTAAAAATTATAATAAGATTTTCACTTACAGACATTTTTGCTCAGATCGTCCGGTTTTCTCGTCAAATGTAAATAAATGATATAGCAAACTAAGCCCGCTATGCTCGTCACTAAATCCACCTGTAGTTTGGTGTAGGTCTGAGTTATAAGAATCGAGTAGGCGGAGTCTTCGTGTAAGGGAGGGGCCTAAGTAGGTCCGTGCTGAATGCACACTACGTGTTTAACAGACAAACTGCACAGCTGTAAGAGAATGGAAAGTGTACTGGAAAAGGTCTGCTTTAATTTAGCCTTTTAATTATTTATTTTTTAAAACAAAATCTAAACAGGTCTTAAAAACACCTGTTGTAAAAAAAATAAATAAAAAAAAGATAAGAAGCAACAATAAATTAAAAGCTACAGTAGAAAACTCTTAGAAACTCTCAGGGTTAAACAATTGTGTGCAGTTCCCAGTTTCCTTCGGACTACACATAACCAACGGCTTAGTATTGTGTTCTTACGAGCAGTGGTTAGTTAAGCGATTAATTAACAACACTCTCCCGGGTGGACACAGGCATCAAAACGAGCAAACCCCCTCGGGAGAGCAGCCACGACGACAGTGGGGAGTGACGTTTGATTTGTCCAAAAGAAACTCGCAGGAAGTGACGCCTCCCTGTACGCGACGGGCGGGATATCCGCAGTAGTAAGCTAACTAATAACATGGCGAAGACTTACGATTACTTGTTTAAACTACTTTTAATCGGCGATTCCGGCGTTGGGAAGACCTGCGTGCTTTTCAGATTTTCAGAAGATGCCTTCAACTCAACGTTTATCTCCACGATAGGTGGGTAAAAGCCGAATTATCGGTGTGGTTTTGGACGAAAAGAGACATAGGAGTAGCCCATCCCGACAGGCTAATTCTGCTAACTTTTCTGGCTAGCATTCATATTGTACTACAGGCTAGTCAGGAAGCTTTCAACCGGCTAGTTAGAGGGGCTTTCCAGAAACCTCACAGACGTTGTAACCGGCCTGAATATTTGGCAACCTCAAATATATGTGATTTCCATGAGAGTGCACCCCACCTGACATTTTTATCGTAATAAATACTTTAACAGGGGTAAACTGAGCTAGCATGCTTCAAAGCTAACAGTGATAGTTGGCACTGTCATTTCCCTTATGACAGACTGCCCTGTACTTCGCACTCATGCTGCCAACGTTACAAAAGTGTGAATTATCTCGTGCATTAAAAACAGATATTGTTACTGTCTGTGGGGTGGTCAGGCAAAGTTTGTGGTGCTTCTAAAAGACAATTGATGTGACTTTTATTTTCTTCAGGTATTGACTTCAAAATCAGAACAATAGAATTAGATGGAAAGAAGATCAAGCTACAGATATGGTAAGATAGACAAGTCCATAAATTGTCTTCATCTGACAGGGTTTGGTGATGGATGACAGTGATATTAAGCTGCCTTCCAACTGAAAGTCAGCAGCATAATTCAGCATGCCTGCACTCTTTACTGTTTAGAATAATTGTTCTAAAATGAGAAGCATTTCTGATGAAGAAGCATTTCAGTAGGATGCAATGCAATTTAACAGCAACACAAACTAATTTAAATTAGAAATTTATTATTTAAATTATTTAAATCAGAAAGAATGTTTCATAACAATGTTATCGTTAAAAACAGGTATTTACTTGTATTTACTTATCTACATGATCACTGCCATGCCTGTATTTTCTGTGTGTATTTATTAACTTACAGATGGAAAGTTCCCAATCAAACAGACTCTTTGTACTCCCCACATTTGGTCTGGCCACCATTGGTCTAACCCTTCTTGGGGTTAATGTTAAGTCTTACCCTAAATCTAATCCTGTATATTTTAGAGAAAGACAAAAAGTACTTGATATTCTTAGAATTATTTTCTTTGTCCCCCTATTCCTAAGACTTGAGATAAATTCAAAAGCAAAATACCACACAGCCTTGGCTTGGGTACCTAGCGTCACAAACGATAATGACCTCACATTGTTGGTGTTAGCTGAACAAGTTATTGTATAACTGCTGGACAGTATCTACTACTGTAACTGACCAGAATAGGATTGTGTCAAGCGAGGAAAGTCACCAACACTTGTATGGAACACTCGGAAACTTGGTCCTGCTCCCTATTTTGTATGCTTTTAAAAAAATCTCTAAAAAAGCTGTTATACCCTTAATGTGTTCTGTGAGGACAGTTAACAGATGTATCTTCTGTGTAGGGATACAGCAGGACAGGAGAGGTTCAGGACTATCACAACAGCCTACTACAGAGGAGCCATGGTAAGTTGCATCGTTAGCCTTTCAGATGATACATTAGCTGAGATAATCTCTGGGAATGGAGTAGGTGAAATGATGTATGTACTGCAGCATAAACCTCTACTAGAACCACACCCCACATTGTTGTTAATGCCATGTACACCTGAGAAATCAGGTGTGCTCACTACAGCACCTTGGCAGTTTTTGCTAGTCCCTCCTACAAGCATACAGTTAGTATGCTTGTATTTGTAAACCTAATTGGACCTTCTTACCTTTGATCAAAGTCCTTTTACTTTGCTCCAACACAACATGATTCATCACCGGTCGACGATGTTTCATCTCAGTTTCGTTTTATTGACATAGTACTAATTAATAACAAGTGGTTATCTCACAGTGGTTACATGAGCTGCATATTTTCATTAGAGTTGATTCTCAGCTCTGTTTCTGTGGATCAGATAGATTCAAGAAGTACGCGATGACAGCACTGATCTTAGGTTACTGTGTTTTCTTATGTCTTCTGCTCTATGACCTCTGCAGGGCATCATGTTAGTGTTTGACATTACCAATGAGAAGTCCTTTGAAAACATCAAGAACTGGATACGGAATATAGAAGAGGTAAAAACCTTGCATTACTTGTACTTTTCTAGTTCTTTCTGTTCATATTGGTTCCTCTTTGGTTAATTATTGATTTTGATCTTCTACAAAGTGCTATAGAGTAACGCTGTAGTTTTGATTCAGTTTCTGTTACGATTAAAATTATTATACCCAGATAATTAAGATAAAGCAATTATTGTGCTAGGCCCTGTTTTGCAGGAACCCTCTTGTTTTGCCTTCTGCACATCCTTTTCCTTGTAATTTTGTCAACAAATAAAAGTCCAAATCCTCCTGCAGGGCTAGGTTTATTTAAGCAGCTTAATCTATTTGGGTTTTACAGAATAGTTGTAATTATAATTTTTGTGTTAGGGCTCAACGATTGGTATCAAATCTGAATTTCTTGTGCTTAGAATATCAATTTGGACAATAGCTGATGTTTATGCCCATGTTTTGCATTGTTATTTGTTATTCGTTCTCTCTGTTGTACCAGAGAAGCAAAATTATAATTATAACGTAATAGCAGAACTATTTTAATGTTACTACATTAAATGTAAACATACAGATTCATGCAAAAGTTTTAATCATTCACGGTAAAGATTTTTTTTTTTGGTGGAAAAATAAATAAATAAATAAAAAAAATGCAGAGGCCTTCTTCGTCAGCCTTATAAATAACCAACACAGTATTTAATGAGTGTAAAATACACAGCAGATAAACATCAACATCAGTTACCTTTAGTAACAATGTTCTTATTTACTGGTGAGCTGGTGG